ACATAAGAGAGAACTATCAATGAATTGTGAAAGAGAGGATGTGACAGGTGGATGTGGCAGGAGGGGTCTGATTTTCTATTCGATAACTCTGTAACCAAACAAAATTGAAGGCTATAAAAATTATGAATTTGTTTGAGCAATAACAGTCTTTTAAGTTTAATTTTGTACTTTTTCGAGGAGTGGTGGATTAAATAGGGATGATGACATGCTAAAAAAAATGTTTCATGTGGGTCACACAAGTGGAAATTTAGGATTTTTTCAAATATTGGCTTGTAAAATTAAGAACTTAAAACTTGTATACTATTAAAATATGAATTATTACCTACAATTTTATGCTATTCTAATTGGTATAACATAAACAAAAAAGTAGCTTAATAAAATTTTCAATTTAAGACACTAAAACCTTGTGTCATGCGCAGTAAAGGGTACCTGGAGCAATAGGGATAAATGAACTTCTTTTTCATGTGTAAAGATATTAATGTTAAACAGAAGCTTTATACATAAATCTGCTCTAATTCTTACTTTTGTACACTTGCTTGGGAGGTTTCAATTTACAAAGTTTTCTCACTTACTTTTTATTGTTTTTAATAATTATGAGTAATATGCTTTTTATGTATCATAATGCATAACCAGTTTTAAATATAATTATACTTACCTAGACACATTATGGGAGAACACAGGCAGAAGAGGTACATGAGGACCAGTTCCATGGTGGACCTCCTCCAGCTCCTGAGATGTCTTAAAAATCAGTAAAAACAATAATCTCAAATATTTTTCACTAGGAAAATAAGCAATCTTTTTCATTAATACCTTTACATAAAAAACACATTCACAATGATTATTTGGTTACTAGATAAATTATGCTACCTCAATCCTCATCAGTTGATTTACATCTCCCGTGTACCGTATAACTGCTTTTCAGGGTGGATATTCTGTACAAGTATTTTTAAGATACTATCAAGTATGATTACAGAGTTTTACAAAGAAAGTCAAGAATTACACACTGGGGTTTTCTAAAGTTACAAACATTTCCTAAATATAAACCTTGAAAGATTTTACCCCTATGATACTAAAACAAGAGTTGTGTCATGCTACTGTCTCACTAACATTAACCTGACTGCTCAAATCAATACACTTATTGAAACAAAAGTCGTTTCATACTGTCATATAAGTAGAGTTAATGTGACTCACAGAACAATTAAGGTACTGAAACAAGAGTTGTGTCATGCTACTGTCTCACTAACATTAACCTGACTGCTCAAATCAATACACTTATTGAAACAATAGTCATTTCATACTGTCATATAAGTAGAGTTAATGTGACTCACAGAACAATTAAGGTACTGAAACAAGAGTTGTGTTATACCATTGTCTCAATTGATTTGATGTGACTCCTGGAATAATCACACTATTGAAACAAGAGTTGTGTTATACCATTGTCTCAGTTGAAATTTGATAATGAGGAGCCCAATTTGAGACTAGTAATGCTTGGAGACAGCTTGAATGGGTAATGAAGAAAAAACTTTAATATAAGTTTAACATAACAGCAAATATACAACGTTTCGACAAGGTTTTGTCATCATCAGTTATCATTGTCTCAGTTGATTTAATGACTCGTGGAATAATCACAGTAATGAAACGAACTGTGTTATACCATTGTCCTAATTGATTTAATGTGACTCCTGGAACACTCACACTAGTGAAACAGCAGTTATGTTATACCAATGTCTAAGTTGATTTAATGCAAGTTCCTGAATAATCACATTATTGAAACAAATTATGTTATACCAATGTCTTAGTTGATTTAATGCAATTCTTGGAATAATCACACTATTGAAACAAGAGTTGTGTTATACCACTGTCTAAGTTGATTTAATGCAACTCCCTGAATAATCACACTATTGAAACAAGAGTTGTGTTATACCATTGTCTCAGTTGATTTAATGCAATTCTTGGAATAATCACACTATTGAAACAAGAGTTGTGTTATACCATTGTATCAGTTGATTTAATGCAATTCTTGGAATAATCACACTATTGAAACAAGAGTTGTGTTATACCATTGTATCAGTTGATTTAATGCAATTCTTGGAATAATCACACTATTCAAACAAGAGTTGTGTTATACCATTGTATCAGTTAATTTAATGCAACTCCTGGAATAATCACACTATTGAAACAAGAGTTGTGTTATACCATTGTATCAGTTGATTTAATGCAATTCTTGGAATAATCACACTATTGAAACAAGAGTTGTGTTATACCATTGTATCAGTTGATTTAATGCAACTCCTGGAATAATCACACTATTGAAACAAGAGTTGTGTTATACCATTGTATCAGTTGATTTAATGCAACTCCTGGAATAATCACACTATTGAAACAAGAGTTGTGTTATACCATTGTATCAGGTGATTTAATGCAACTCCTGGAATAATCACACTATTGAAACAAGAGTTGTGTTATACCATTGTCTCAGTTGATTTTACATGACTCCTGGAATCATAACAGTAATGAAACCAGAGTTATGTCATAATGTTGTCTCGGTACATTTAATGTGATTTCCAGAGTTATCATATTGTTGTATCAGTAGAGTTAATGTGAGTCTTGGAATCAAAGCAAGAGTTGTTTCATAGTATTGTATCAAAACATACACAATCTCAAAACTATCAAAACAAAAGTTTCTTACTTTTTAAGAATTATAAAACTAGAAAAAATAAAGTAATTACTAAATAAACTTAAAACCTTAACCTCTATAAAATAACTTGAAACAAGTAAAGTGGAAAACCAGAAAATTGTCAAAAATTAAAAAAAGCAGTAAAGTACTGATAAGACATACAACATTTTTGTTGTTGTTTTACTCTACATGTTCTAGCAGCTGTGATTAATTTTAATTTTCATATTAAATCAAAGCATTAGTATAGGCAGGTTAATGAATACATTTTGTTGTATATCTCTCCCATGCTGCATTTGCATGATATTTTCAAGTTAGCACTTTTATAATTAGCAAGGTATTTGTAATATAGGTTACATAATTATATAGTTTTTCACAAAAGTATTCTTCCAAATTGTACAACCAGCATTCTCATTACTGGCCTTGTATAAATACTTTAACACTATACTAGTGAAGTAAGATTTGTTGACATGCTACGTTAACCACAGATAAAATCCAACCTACATCGACAGTATTTTCATTTTGGTCCTTTACAAAAGAGATGTGATCTTTCCTTCTGAAAAACTGTTCTTTTGGTTTTGATTCATGAACTTTCTTTATAGGAGACACAGAAGAGCTTCTGTAAGACACACTTTACTTAAGAAATTTCTAGATGATAAAAACTATACCAAAAACTTCAATAAAAAAATATGGGGATTAATTGTCAAAAAATAGCGAATTATATAAAAAAGAACAAGAAACATTGTTTACATATTAATAAATCAATTTTGTAGCAAAATACCTTCTAGGTAAAAGTATATTTCTAAACCCAAAGAAAACAAAACAATGTATTAGCCTCTCAGTAATTATGTTTATAACAATCCAATAATTTATTAGCTTTTCAGTTATTTTGTTTATAACAATAAAATAATTTATTAGCTTCTCAGTATTTATGTTTATAACAATAAAACAAAACAGTGTATTAGCCTCTCAGTAATTATAACAATAAAACAAAACAGTGTATTAGCCTCTCAATAATTATGTTTATAACAATAAAACAAAACAGTGTATTAGCTTCTCTGTAGTTATATTTATGCTAATAAAACAAAACAATGCATTAGCTTCGAAATAGTTATGTTTATAACAACAAAACAGTGTATTAGCTTCTCTGTAGTTATATTTATAATAATAAAACAAAACATTGCATTAGCTTCGAAATAGTTATGTTTATAACAACAAAACAGTGTATTAGCTTCTCTGTAGTTATATTTATAATAATAAAACAAAACAATGCATTAGCTTCGAAATAGTTATGTTTATAACAACAAAACAGTGTATTAGCTTCTCTGTAGTTATATTTATAATAATAAAACAAAACATTGCATTAGCTTCTAAATAGTTATGTTTATAATAATAAAAACACAAAACATTATAGTACTTCTCAAGAAACATATGTTTTTAACACTAAAAATAAAACATTGTTTAGCTCCTCAATAAAGTTTAACTTGTAATGATAAAAACATAAATCATATTAGCTTCTCAATAAGTATGTCATGCCACATAAGTATGTTATTACATAAGTATGTCATGCCACAATGTGATTCAGCACACATTTTTAACACAAGATGTGTACACTAAACCTTTGGTGGTGGAAAACAGTGTTATCAGCTATCACAGCTTGTGACTTATTGTCTACTCCAACTTGTCTGTTGACCGAGAGCTGGCTGGTCTCTGATGCAGCTGAGTGCTGTTTAACTGGTCGTAATGAGTTCTCTCTCTATGGAAAACATGTACTTTGTCATTATTTACATTGACCTGTAAGTACCTTACACAGAATTAACATAAAACTGGCAAATTACCAAAATCACCAGGGTTTACATCAAAGAACATCACTAAGAAAAAAAATGTATGGAGTGGATTTATTCAAATAGAATAAAAATAAACTTTGTGAAATGCTAAAGTTAAGACTAAAGCCAGATTACTCAAACTAGTTATGTACAAGCTTTCTGAACTAAGCAGATATAAGAAAATAATACAACATGCACAGTATTAATTTGACTGAGGTAGTGAATATTAAAGAAATTGTATACAAACCTTCCGACCAGGAGTAAATGTAAAAGAAAGGCTTCCTTGCCCTCCATCACAATCCACTAGTTGTTTTCCACAAAAGACTAAAGAATTGTTTGGGCATCGGCTTGGTCCACCAATCATTTGGATGCACACTTCTGTCTGACCACTAGGACATTGTAACCATGGGCACCAGAAACCCCAAAAAACAGTTACAGTAGAAACAGGCCCATGAACTTTCCCTAATACAGTGCTTGCCTAGTAAGAACAGAAAACAGAACCTTCACTATAGTTGTGTTTATCTAGTAAAAAGAAAAAATAGAACTCACTCTATAGAAGTGCTTGCCTAGTAAAAACAGAACTTTCTCTGTAGCTGTGTTTGCCTAGTAAAACAGGAAAGCATTCAGTATGTATATGGTTTGCCCACAGAGAGAACTAGGTTGATGATTTGCATTTAGAGATGACCAGATATATGAATTGGCCCTTGAGAGGACTAGATATATGGGTTCCTCCTGGATAGGATTAAGTACATGATTTGGACAGAACAAACACTCTTAAGGAGAAAATCAGTTTTCTGTTCTTAATTGGCCTAGCATGCTATGAGAAAGGATCATTTTTTTGTATTTACAAGGCAAGCACTACTAAAATAAATGTTCAGCTTTTCATTTTTACCAGGTAAACACAACTATACAGAAGGTTCAGCCAACACTAATTCAGTTGAATAATTCAGCAACCTCTGCCTTTGTCACTATGGTGCTAGTACTTACCCTTCTTTCCTTCATACCCTGTTCACAGGAAACTCCAAATTCGATAATGAAGACAAGAGCAATCTGAGGATCATTTGGAACATCAATCATTTTTATCTTGTTCCTCAGCATCAAAACTGAATCTGTTGAGCCACTGCAAACAAAAAACACAAAAAAATGAGGATTTTGTGGCACATCCATCATTTTAACACTGTTACTCTGCATCAAACCTGAACCTGCCAAACCACTGCAAAAAAAAATATATTAAGATTTTTTGGCACATCCATCATTTTAATATTGTTACTCAGCATTAAACCTGAAATCCCTAAATCGTTAAAAAATTGATTTACAAACTGAACACTACTAATAATGTTCTATTGTTAAAACGGACTCAACATAATGGACAAACTGTTTGTTGTTAATACACTTTTGTTCAGAATGATTTAGGTACATAGTAAATTTGTCACTAAAGACAACAAAAAGACAGAGAATTACTTAAGTCAAAACATAAACAGTGGTACTTTCTGTTGACTTACATTGCACTTATCATTTCTAAGTAATTAAATTATTACTCCTAACTACTTCAATGTTACTGATATGCCTCAGTTTTACTTGCTTCATTACTGTAACACCTAAACAAATAAACTTTTACTTAAAGTTTCCAATGACCTATTTTTATAATTCTGCTTCCATAAAGATAAATCACTCAACTCTTTTACTCATTCTCTAACAAATATAATGACTAAGTAAAAACATTCTTTTACTAACTCTACTCCCATAACTAGCAAATGGATGTATTATTTTTTCCTTCACCATACTTTCTGATATGCAAATAACAACAGGCATATTCACTCTGTAACATTCCATAAACTGGAAACACTACAGATTTATTTTATGATTTCTTAAACAGTCTCTCAACTAAAAGTTTTATACAATAATCCAAGATCTTAAAAGCACTGGAAGAGTTTTAGTTAATTTAATTTAACAGTGAATAGTATGTTTAAGCTCCTATGACTACTTTTATATTTTCCGAGATTCTCTTTTATGAATGGGTGCTGGCAGTTTGAAGAAAGTGCTTTGAAAAAACCAGTATAATATTTGAAGATGTAAAACTCTAATGACTACACATTAGAGTTTGTGCTAACAGTTGGAAGACACTGCTTTAAAAAAAATAGAAACACCAGAGCAATATTTAAACATATAAAACTCTTAACTGCTTACACGTTAGAACATGTTCAGTTTCACGATAGTGCTTTAAAAACACCAGAGCAATTTTTTAATATACAGAACTCTAACTTCTTACACATTAGAACCTGTACTGGCAGTTCGACGATGAGTTTTTATATTAGATATATTTGTCAAACTGCTACGGCGAGCAAGTCGTTCTGGAAGAAGTTGCTGGACATCAGGACGAGTAACAAAGCACCATCCATTGTGAACTCCTATCTAAAACAAATTGAGATACACAAAAGGAAAAATTTTTCAGAAATAATCAAAAAATATTATATTATCTAAAAAAATAAAGCTTGACTTAAAAAAGGAAAAGGACATTTAGTGTATTTGAAAATCTATAGATTTATATATTTTCAGGGAATCTTTCTAATTTTCACAAATTCCTTTTATTGTTACTTCACTCATATAGAGAAATGTGGATGGGTTCTAAGCATGGTATGTTCAGTGAATAATATAGGTTTCTGCAATTTAAAAACCTTCACAACCAACCTGCACTCTTCTTTCAACTACTGTAAATTTAACCCCTATAGCAGAATGATCTTTTTTTTCCTGTTCCAAACTGTGCAAAAGGTATTCTTCAAAGTTGGCCACTGTTGGTTGTATCTTTAAAGTGACTTTATCTAGTTGAAATGATGTCACCTTCCACAGTTTAGGTTTTCTGAAGTGATCCTTAACTGAAACACAACAATTTATTCTACAAGTATGAAATAAACAGAACAGTCTTTGTGATTTTCTCAATGAAAATGACATAAATACTTCTGAATGTAAGTTAAATTACATTGAAAATAGTAAATTATGCTCAACTCACTTAAAACTACAATAAGCTTGAGCTATTATAGTTAATTCATAAGTTTGTTTTCACCTTAACAGTTCTACAAAAACAGAAGTTATAATTTTCGTATACTGAAAATGTATTTCCCACAGGTACTTACCTCCTCTCACAGATATAGCTGTTCTTGTTCAGTGCAAAAATGTTTTTGCATGCTACAAGCCTTGAGCTCCCACATACCCTACGATCATTGTATTTCAACTGCGTCTCACATATAAATCCTCATGTGACAACCCTCCACCAACAGGAGTGTGACACATCCTCCTGACACACATGACTCCCTCTATTTGATTCTACCAAACTATCACTTCGAGTTTTGGAAGAAAATGGAAGCATCAGTTTTCAGTGAGGAGGAAGGGCGAGAGTAGAGGAGTACTTATTGGAAATACATTTACAGTATAGGAAAGTTATAATTTCTGATACGGTACATTACCCCTTCTCACAAATATAGCTAGAATTCCACACTGAATAGGTGGAGGGACGAATGCAAGGAAAAGAAAGAAGCATCCGTCAAAAGTGTCCAAAGATCATCCAAAAAGAGGATATCCTTACAGCAGAGGATCACATGTAGGAGACCACACCACATCTGTACCAGGTATTGTCAACACCCAGTGTGGAAAGAGATGTTGTAATAAACATGGGCAGAAAATGGGAGGAGCACAACCAAAAAAGGAGAGAACAATGGTTGGATAGGGATCCAAACAACCTGATATTGGAAACTTAACACCTCTGATGATAGTAATGTGGATGAGAGTAAAAAAGATATGCCAAAAGGTGTAGCGTGGCTAGGGCACAACGGCCCATATGTGGCAAACCTACAGCATCCAAAACCCAGCTCCCAGAAATAGACATCCATGTGGAGATAGGAAAGAAGATCATACTGTTGGCAAGTCAACTACAATCCAAAATCCAGCCACCAGGAATCAACATCCATGTTGGGATAGAAAAGAGGATATTACCAGCAGTAAGTCAACTGCAATCTAAAACCCAGCCACCTAGTGGGGGTAGGAAAGAGGATCATACCATTTTCACCTCAAATTCAGCAGACTGGAGGGAGATATCATACCCACTGACCTGTGAATAGGGCACACAATACCAAAGTGATCAAATGTTTTACAAGTCTGGGAACCGACATCCAGATGGTTGGAATAATCAGATGGTGATAGCAAATAAATCTGATTGACAGCATCCACAGGTCAAGAGGAGAAAGAAGTAAGTCTTAACAGATAAGTGAAAAATCAAACATGAGGACAGAGGTTCAACAGAGGTAAAGTAAGGCAATGAAAACCCACATTTATATCCCAATCTGGAAGGACCACGCACTGAAGAGGTCAACTAATCTAGAAGGAATGCAATAATAGTGAGAAGGTAGGAAAGGTAAAAACTTTACAGTAATGGGAAAAATCAAAAGTGTGGGATAAGGCAGCCCAATAACCCGTGATCGAGGAGACAGAAGTATCCTGATCAAACAGACAAGTAAGGAAATCCCTAAGAAGAGGAACAGTGAGCCGAGGAGGTGAAAAACCCCGACCCACAGACAAATGGTGGAAAATGTTCTGCTCATGTTGATAAACATCCATAGAGGAATGGCAAATTGAATGTGCTAAAAAGAAAGTGACTCACTGTAAAAATCTGGATTTCCTTCCCAAGGACCAGATAAAAACTGGGTGAGAAGACAGAGGGTAGAAAGAGCTAGATGAAATGCTGGAAAGGATAGAGGATGAGGTAATGGTGAGGCAAATTGGAGGTGGTACAGCTGTAGAAATCATGGTTGCACCAGCCAGTAAGGAGCAATCAAAGGACTTGACACAGAGTGTTGTAGATGATTGAAATCACCCTGGGAAGGAGATGAATGGAAGGAGACACATAAAGTTATTTGTTGGTCCAATCCTGGCAGAATATATTGACAGCCAGTGCAAGTGGATGAGCAACTGGAGACCAAAACAAAGGAAACTTGGTACTGAGGAATGTGGCAAGCAAATGCATCCAGGTAAGGGGTACCCCATCGAAGGCATAGTCACTTGAAAATGTGAGGATCAAGAGACCACTCTGTTGGATAAATTTTGTATGGTTTGGAAAAATGATCCATAACAAGATTGAATGCATCTGGAACATAACATGCAAGGAGACAAATACCAAGTATGTGGGCCATTAAAATGAGATGTAAGGTTTAACCACAAAGGGAAAGAGAACAGGTGCCACATTGGTGACTGATATAAGCTACCACCACAGAATTGTCAGAATGGATCATGACTAGACGATTCCTGGCAAGATGAAGATAATGAAACATGGTGTATGGTCGAAAGCTCCAGAATGTTGATATGATAAGACCTCTAGGCTGGAGACCACTAACATCAAGCTTCCTGCTAATCAACCTACACACCCCCAGCCATAGAGGGAAGCATCCATGAAGATATGCAAATCTGGATGGGAGGAAGGAAGCAGAACACCCACTGATGTGTTGGTCTTGTCAAACCACCAATGCAGATCATCAACATGAGAAGAAGGAAAGGAAATAGTAGCATCCAAGGGATCCCACCTAAGGTTCCACAAGTTGTGCAGAGTCCACTGAAGAGACCTCATATGTGCTCAACCCAAGGGGATAAGGGTTTCCATACAAGAACATATCCACAAAAGCAATTGCACCTCACAAGCAGTAATAGAGGGAGCCGTAAGGGCATGGAGAACTGAAAGCTCCATCAAATGCAGTCAAAGAGGAGAATGTTGGGCCCAACTGAGATGAGAGTTTAAAAAGACACCCAAGTGGATGAGATATTGGGTAGGTATAAGGAATGACTTCATCAACTTGATTAACCAACCCACATGAGCTGCCCCTAAAAGAAGCAGAAGACTGTGCTGGGCAGACTCCTGTTTGGAATGAGCTAACAGATGCCAGTTGTCCATGTAATGGTGTAAGTGGAACCCCCAAGTACGTATATATTGGGCAAAAGCCTTGTCCACTCAACAAAAGACATGCAGGGTGAGAGCAAGCCCAAAGGTTAGGGTGCAAAATTAATACACTACCCCATGATGAACAAACCAAAGATAGCGCCTCATCTGAAATGATATAGGAATATGCAGATAAGCATTTGAGATGTCTACCTTGGTCATCCATATACTTGGAGGAAATGCCCACCTGAGTGTGAGAAAAGACTGCATGGTAAATCATGGCAGAACTAAAAGTTGATTGAGGCAGAACAGATAGATAACAGATTGCCAGTCCCCAGTTTTCTTAGATACCAGAAACAACATGGAATAACAACCTGGAGAAGAATGAGATACAGGTTCCCTGGCTTTCAAGGGGAAATAAATCAGTCAAGCAAGCTCTCACTGGACCAGAACCCACAAGGTAGTCACCAATACTGTTGGCAATGTTTCCACTGCATCAAATAATATGAGTGGAGGAACCCCTAGAAGTAGGAACTGGTAAAGCCTGGGGGATAATAGGGGATTATCTAAGCTCACTATGAGACAAACAATTAACCAAAGATGAAAGGGTCAATTGCTGTCTTCCACACAGGGTTCTAAATTCTCAGTAAAATCTCTGAAAACAGTCTGTTGGCAAAAAGGGGCCATACATAAGTCCCGAAGATAAGTAGGTGGTAAACAAACTTGGGACAGTACAGCATTTCTCCCCAGAAGATTCCAGCAACAGAGAAACCATGTGTAAGGAGAGAGCCAAAGAAGACAAATGTGCCAATTTGGAGGTAATTAGGGAGGAAGCATCATTCAAAAAACCTTAGGGTCTCAGTGGAGTGCCTCAGAAAGGAGGTGGGTAGTGGACAAGTACCATAGTAGAGTTGATAGGGTAAGATGAAGGTGGGAAAATTCAATGTGGAATAAATGAACAGGATAATCAGGGTCTACCCCCACATGGGCAAAATTGATTCCAACTGTTGAGAATCAAGAAAAGGAAAGTCAACCTGATGGTAAGGTAAAGCAAACTGATCCAAAGCTTGTGGAGTGTGTGTCATGTTAATGCCCTCAAGCATTTGAGGTACAAAATGCTCTGCATGAACCCTAAAATCTGGGGAAGGGAGAAACACAAAATACTGAGAGGAGGGGGTACCATATAACAAGGAAGGAAGAAACACAAAATACTGAGAGGAGGGGGTACCATATAACAAGGAAGGAAGAGGATTATAAGAAAATGGTGAAAATGATAAAATAGAACACACCTGAGAAATCAGGTCCAAAAAAAAAGCTGTATTAGGCCTAGCTGATTCCACAGTAGAGGCATAAGAAGACGCAGAAAATCAGGAAAAAGGCTGTCAAATTCCTTGTCATCCCAAACAGATTCAGTATGTTCAGGAGGAAAATGGGCAATATCAGGAGAATAAGGTTGACTCAATGATCAATCTCTAATCAAATAAGAGCCAATAATTCCATAATTGAGTTCATCCTACTTGCAGCCTGTATAAGTATGCTGGTAGATGGTATGACCTCCGAAATTGTAACTTGAACTTCAAAGTCATTGTTAAAGATGAATTACCAAACACAACAGAGTTAGAATAAATAAATGAAAAATTAGAAAAAAGTAAATTATGCTTATGTTCACAAACATTGGTAAAAAAGAATAACAATTCCACTTCAGAATAAATTACAAAACAGTTCATCAACATTGAAAAAAAAAATGTCATAAAATTCACTAAGTTTAAAAAAACACACAAATGAAGAGCACAATGAAAAACGTCTTGACACGAGCACTGCCAAACGAGAAATGAACAGAGGGAGTCAAATGCATCAGGAGGGTGTGTCGCACTTCTATTAGTGGAGGGTTGTTGCATGATGATTTGCATGCAGGGCACAATTAAACCACATTGATTGGGGTACAGGAAAGCTTAATGCTTGTTGTATGCAAAAAATTTGCATATAGAGGGCAGCATTGAACGAGAAGAGCTATATCTGTAAGAGAAGGTAATGTACCACATTAGAAGTATATACAAACTTGGTTGACATTATGACTAAAGGAAAAGTACATAACATTGGCCTGTAATTCTCAAATTGTTCTCATCACACAACAAGAACCAGAATTCCATGAACAGATTAGTGTTGTAAACATAAGCAAGTTATATCTGAAAAATGATTAAACTACTTTTTGAAACATAAATTCACAAGTTCAAAAAGCTACATAACACTTTATCTTCTAAACTTCCAAGGGTCACCTATCATACTCTGGTACGTTAAAAGGTTTATGTAACTCTCTGACATTGTTAGGACCAAGTTTCTTGTTATTATTTTATCTGTAGGCCTAAATATTACAGAAAGTTTATTAATAGACCGGATGCTTTTATATTCTAAATTTCTTTATCAACACAGTAGCATGTTAAAACATCTATTCTCTACACCAGTTTTCTAAAACCATAATGATAAGATCTTGTTAGTTGCTTAACTCAACCAGCATTTCAAGCGCTTAATTTCTGCTTAACTTTGGTTCATGCTAGCTGGCATTTCAAAGGGGAAACTGACCACTCAAGTAGAATGAGGAAGCTAAAACAGCTTTTCAGGACACTGAAGATAATCTCATTATTAATATAGTTTACTGAAACTGGAGAAACAAAAATACAATTTCATGTATAAAATATTGAGAGAAGTAATTATCTCTGAAAAGATAAATGCAGGCTTTTTCTTTAGAAGTTACTTGTAAGTACCATTTCTACTTCTGTATTACCTTACTTAATGGCATGAATGAGTAGGCTTGTTCTTTAGAAGTTACTTGTAAGTACCATTTCTACTACTGTATTACCTTACTTAATGGCATGAATGAGTAGGCTTGTTCTTTAGAAGTTACTTGTAAGTACCATTTCTACTACTGTATTACCTTACTTAATGGCATGAATGAGTAGGCTTGTTCTTTAGAAGTTACTTGTAAGTACCATTTCTACTACTGTATTACCTTACTTAATCAGATGAATGTGTAGGCTTGTTCTTTATAAGTTACTTGTAAGTACCATTTCTACTACTGTATTACCTTACTTAATGGCATGAATGAGTAGGCTTGTTCTTTATAAGTTACTTGTAAGTACCATTTCTACTACTGTATTACCTTACTTAATGGCATGAATGAGTAGGCTTGTTCTTTATAA